AACGTATTGGTGTCGTTGTGTCCGATTTACAGCAAAATTACGCACCACTTCTAATAGCTTATCACCAATATGAATGTGAGACATAGCTATTAAATGTGGAGGATGTGAGGTTTCAGGTGTTCGACCACCGTTACCTTCATAGCATAGTCTATGTGTTGTGTCATCAAGTCAGCGACCTAAAAAGCCAGGTATACCGTTTTGTGGAGGAGAGGAAATTCAGTTGATGAGATTGTAAACCTTTATCAGCTTGAGTGGCTAGGATATGTACTACACATGCCTAGTCATCCTTTACCTCGTCTTATAATGTTAGCTGAAGTAGGTTTAGACAGGAAACGGATTAGAAACGATCAGACTAAAGCATAACCTCGATATATGAAATCTTTGACTATTGGTCTGAGCCGTGTAGGGAAATGCAGACCTCTCCGTTGGGGATCATGTGATAACAGAAACCATAGGTTGGAGATTCTAGGTGAAATGCCTCAGAATCGATCTCAATGTCGCAGATGTATCCACACATTATTCGCATCTTGTCAAACTAGACTCAGTATTCCCTTATTCTTCCTTGTTACCTTATCATGACTACTTTCTTCTCAATTTTTTTACCTCTTATCTTAGTGTTTTCTCACTTGATGTGCTGATCTAAGGTGCGGTAATTGTGACGGTTACTTAATAATAACCGGTACTAAGTTGATTTTGTCTGTCAATATTCCAATTTCCGCAGTCAATGAGCTTTTATTTACGCTACGCTTTTCACACCAATTGTAACTTCAAAGATTGATGACTATTGTATATTATTCCTCATAACTGATGATTAAGCGATCAAAAAACATGCAAACAATGAGTTCTAGTGCTTATTTCATGTTATCCGGAAATACGCATTTGCAGTAGGAAAATGATACCTTCAAGATGATTTGAGGTATTTACAGGTGGAATATCATCAGTGAGTTTTGGTTTATCATCAATATCGTAAAAGAAAGTACTTAACGTAGCCTAATTCAATGATAAAGGAATCATCTGCTAGAGGAATGCAATAAACCTTACGGATATGTGATCACTGAACTATAAGAACTTATGCCCAGTTAGTAGTTGTTGACTATCTATAATAAACGAAACAACAATTTAAAAAGAAAGACGCAAAGTATCATGGTAAAAAGCAGAATGTGAACAGAAATGATGTTGATAAGGCCCAAACTATCATGCAATTTAAATTTCAGTAGGTGATAGGGTTACTACATGCAACTACTCAGCAACCAACTACCATACGTTAAATCTATTGTGTCGCGATACTAGTTGATTATCTAATTATCGGTAAATTCCGCAGGGTTCAAATCAACCAACCAGTGGTTGGAACTCGGACATTTAATCCACTGAACTAGAACATTGTAGAGAAAACCAACTACAAGAAGCAGTGAACAATAGAAAAATTTCTATTTAGCTCTTAGTAACTCCAGGGGTTAGCTAAAAAATAGCCACTGAGATAAATAAATGTATGATTTGGTCAACCGAACTAGGAGGCATCCTTCGACTTTCTCTCTCTCTCTCGGAAAACAGCTAACAACCAACATGATAGAAGTATACGTGGGCCGGGTCGGTAGGAGAAAATCACGGGTAAGAGCAGTCAGAAAGAAAAAGAACACACTACTTAGTGCTTTCATATGGAAATAGGAAGTTCAAATTTCAAAACAACAGAAGACAGGCATGATGAGAATACATATATTCACTTAACAGTTTCTTTTCAAAAAAATTCAGACTTGAAATCAGAGAAAATATCGCGTATTTCAATAACATTGCCTTGTTTATGGGCGTGTGGCTAAATAGAGATTTTATAAACACTTAATTAGTTTCAAGGCAGTATTAATCATGGACTGATATCCGTTGGAGAACTATTGAAGACCTGGAAGCACTGCACAGCTTTTTTATCCTATTATGGGACTTCTCAGCAGTATGTACCCACGACACCACCAAGGGTTAAACTCAGGACCCTCACGTTTCACAGAGAACGTACTAACCATTCAGCCACTGGTTCGGAGTTCAATGGTTTACAGTTTCTTACTTATCATCCGCTTCACCCCCCAACTTGATCGATCCCACAGGTCACGGCTACTCATTAGAACTTCGGGATATTCGTTTGGAAGCGTGTCACTCACTAAAAAGCACTATACAGTAATATGTTTTGAGGTTAATGGGGATTTTATTTTTAAGGTAGTTTTCATCTCAGACTGACATCATTTAGTTTAATTTTAATTTCCATACAACAAAATTTAGTTAAACACTGACGAATCATAGAGCTTATGAAAGTTATTTTGTGGTTAGTGAACACCCTTAAATTTAAAAAAAGGGACAGAACTCATGTTTTATCAAGTCCACTATACAAAGAGGCTATGTGCAATATGAACAGCATGTTGCTTGATTTCCACGTTAATAATTTAATAAGGTGCTATGTATGAAAGCATTTTAACAAGGACAATATTGTTTACACAGTTTAATATGAACAAAACATCATGACTGAAACTGAAGTAAGACTGCCTTTGTGCGTGCAGTGTGTGCGGTAAATACGGTGCACAAATGATCCTGAATGAATTATTTCCTTCTTGCTGATCAGAATACCTATTTGAATATTATTCATCCAATTGAATAGCATCCATAAATTTTGGACAACTAACGTATAAATAGTCTAATAATAAAAGCACAGCTAAAAACTTGTTCATTTCATAGAATAAAAACAAATCTCATCCCATCCTTTTATTAGAAGGAATGATTGACGATGCGATTGCATTTGATCCCGGCTAGTGAGCTAAACACACACACATACACACACACACCACTGGATAAATGGGAAGCTAAAACCCTTATTTATGTGCATATTTGCCAGTATGTATGCATACAAGCAGCATCGTTTATCAATTCCGTTATTGCGAGGATTTGATTTCTTTTACACTTTTTTTTCCACAAAAAGTCAAAACAATTATATATATTTATAAAAATATCTAGGAAACATTATTATATAAAACCAGACGTAGTAGGAAGTGGAGAAAAGATGAAATTTCCAACAAAAGTCTAGGGAAATTTCAGAATTATCTCGTTCGTTGGTACGGATAAATCAGGTGAGAAGAGACTTAAGTAAAAACAAACTTTGGTAACAGTCAGTAGTTGCAGTATTGAAAGTGCAAGTAACTGCAGGATACTCAAGTCATTTTAGATTTGGTTATTTGATAAAACCACACAATGGTACAATTATTTCCCGTTGCTATAAGGCGCCAAATTGCCTGACCTCTGCATAGAAAGGGATGTTACAAGTATCAAACAGCAATTGATACTCACTGCACAAAACGTGGCTCTCATGACCCAGAGGCCTAGTGCATAACTCACTGGCATTTTAAGCGGTGGGTATTGGGTTCGAGTCTCAGTAGGAACGTTACTCACTGGGATGCAGGTACGTTCAGCTAACGAGTCCCAAATAGGATGGAAGGTGAGTTCTGGATTCAACTTCTATTCACCAAAATCAAGCACAAGTTATTTTAACCATCACATCGAAGTCGATTTGTGCTCTGAACCTTATCCAGTAAATAATACTGCACCACTAGGTCCAATAAAAAATCTAATACGGAATTATGTTCTACCATTGAGCCAAATTTTTACCCCTATACTGATGCAGGTTTCTCAACTCCAATTCATCAGATGACTAGACACCCTAGGTGGCACAAATGAAAATCGATGCCAGTAGTGGCGAATTCTAAATACAATGTTTCATAGTTGTTAGTTGGATGGAGGCAATCGACGGGAAGCCCTGGACCCAAATTTCGTGCTTTTTGGGACTCGTTAGAAAGGAGTATCTGCAACCTTTACGGAACAGATGTCCCCTCTGAGATTCGAACCTCCATCACCCAACGCTGCAGTCAGAGATGTTACCACTGAGCTATTCGCGTTCCAATTAACCTCCTGTTTAACTGGATTACATACACTGAATGGTCACTGGAAGGTAAACCGATAGATGTTTGTAATCCAGACCTACAGGGGGTTGATCACGGCCCGAATAGCTAAGTGGTAACGTCTCTGCAGCATTGGGTGGTGAAGGTTCAAATCTCAGGGAGCACATCAGTTTAATAGAGGTTGCAGACACTAGTTACTGACAAGTGCCGGAAAGCATGAAATCTAGGTCCAGGGCTTCCTGTCGATTGTTTTAACCCAACTAACATCTCAGTGCATCGCGTTGGTGAGTCTCCTAGCCTGGTGACCAAATTCATCGACAGAATTCTATCAGTTCATGGGACTAGACAACATGAAGTTGGTTGACTGACTAATCAATGTATGTTTCATAGTTATCCATTCGATTTTCTTTCTTTTGAACCGTTTAGAAATTCGAACCCATTGGCTCAATTTCTTTTATTATTTTGTTTATGAAAGTTGTGATACGCAAAATTGCACCCATACAGCTGATTGTAGAAGCACTCTCGTCAATAATTATTTTGCGACACAAATAATGCTCAACCACTATCTGGACATTGGAATTTCCCGTAATGGCTATGTATATATACATGTAATTGGAAATGATAATTCATGTAACTTCGACAGAGAATGTAACTGGTTGACTTTGCAGTATAGTTCTCTAGAGTCTTGTTTCGCCTTGGTTTGCTTATATGCATGATAGTGTCATGGAAAAACGATAATACACTGTGTTTTTGCCTTCTTATCATACTACGACAGCAGGCATATTGACGATAATGGTGTTCATATTTAAGTAGACAATACACAGTAAATTGTATGTAAAGAACAGCAGAGTTCGTTTTTATCCTACAATGCAAACAAGCACAGAGAATTGGGATACCTACATTACATAAATAATAATCCCGAGTAACGCGGAATTATGGATCCATTAAGGATCTCAAAGAAATTAACTATATTTATATAACAAAGGAGTTAGGAAAGTTAGTAGTTTGATAGGATTGTTAAGAGAAGTATTTTACTTCAAATAATAAGCTGGATATATTTCAACAACATACCTGACTGGTGGTACAGGTGGAGATACATCAGAAGTCTCGATCGACAATGTATTTCCAGTGAATGATAAGTTTGAAGTATGACTAACAACAGGACAAACCACAGGTTTAGTTGACTGTGGTAATTTTTTAGGGACATTGTTCATATTTGATCGGGTAGCAGCTAATGACTGGGAGGACACTTGTTTTGCAGCTGCAAGTACAGCAGCTGCTTCTGCGAATGCAGATGCCTTGGCATCTGCAATAGCCTGAGCATCCAAACGTTCTTTGAGAGCAACGACTGGACTTCCTCCTGCAAAAGTACGGAGATCCACAAATATAGGAGGTCTTCGAGTAGGATTTAGGTTGTTTAGTACATCGGATACATCTGGAGTCTCTTGCGAATTTGAAGTTTTAGGAATAACATTTGCACTATCAATAACACAATTAGAAGAGCTTGGAAAAAATGCGCTGTGTCGTGCAGAGGATAGGAGATTTGAAAGAGTTGTGCCATGACGTAATCGTGGTTGTCTAGCACTACCGCCAAAAACATTCCTGGAATTGTCTGATCCCTTTCCCTCACTCCGACGAAGAAAATGACGACGTAAGAAGGCCAGGTCTATCGCTTGTGGAGTTGAAATGCGGTGAAGTCTATGAGATTATACAACAAAATTTAAAGCATCAACAAAAAGGTCAACGAGAAAAAAACTCAGTGAAACCGACTCAAAATGAAGAATGTTTTATTAGTCAAAAGATTTGCACAAAAATTCCAACGTCTTATTCCTCGATTCTGCATGTGCACGCAAATAACAGTCTTGTATAGAAAATACCGCATAAGACATTCAGTCGTTACAAAATACAAGACAACCGTCAGTCGATGATAGTTCACACGATGGAAATGCATTATGCTGTATAAAACTGGCATGACGTTCCAAACTGATGTATGCTTGAACACTAACCTTCATATTCCACTTATCATAGTTGCTTCATCCATCGGAAACACCGAGGCAGGATCAGTGAATAACCTAGGGTTAATAGAAAGAAGTGATCGAGAAAGGTCTGGCAACGCTTTGAATTGAAGAACTCCTCTTTGTAACTTCCACATGAACATTTGCTACGAAGACGATGTCTGAAAGCATAGGATCCCGCAAAACGTCAACTAGAATTTTACCAATTAAGAGAAATTGATTTGAAATCTCCCTTAACACTATTTGCATGAATGCATCAAATCGCATCGAAAGATCCGAGTACACTCGGCAATCGTATCCCCATTCGTGCATTAGGCGATGAGCCACACCTATATTGTGAGGGCTGACGATACTAACTGGCCCACTGATTGAAAGTCAACTCCCTAAACAAACGACCCACAACTATTTATGGATACCGGAAAGGTAATTAATTGTCATTCACAAAACATGACTGTGTTATGTTTAAAATATTTGAACTTTTGAACACTTTTATTTTTTTGAAATCCAAGAGTTGAATAATTTTCGCAAAATGTTTCGAAAACCTGAAGCTGACGTTAGCTAAATGGAACAGCATTTGATAACATGTTTCAATATACAGAAACATATTACGAGTAACCTAATTAAACAATTTCGAACAAATAGGCATTAAGTACTAGAAGGTTTAAGCCACCTTTATGGGTTTAAAAACAATTTGTCATCACAATGAACCTTTTCGGTCAATCCGTCTTTGAACCGAAGGTTGTTGTAATATTAATTTTTTGTTGTTGTTGTTGTTAGTTCGACCTTCAAAATAGCCCTTTCATCTGACTTATAATTATTTTCCTACACCTTAACTCTGTAGTGTTTCACATAAATGACAAGTACGTGTTTGTGATCAGATTGGTGGAAATGTGTTGTGCAAATACACCACATGATTTAGACAAATTACGTTTTCTTATTGTTTTCTAAAACAGATGGATAACACAAAGAAGGAACGAGAAAACTCAGGTGGAAAGTCAGTGAATATGTTTTAAGGTACTATTCATCATTAATGACATGCCTCGAGATGAATATCTCAAAGTTCTAGTAACAAGCCGTGACCAATGGGGTCAACCAGTTGCAAGTGAAGCAGAAGACAACTAAAGACGTTGGATGATAGTCGCATTATATCGCGGATTGACAGAAATGAGAAACTGTGGACCATTGAACTCCAAACCAGTGGTTGGATGGTTAACGTGTTTGCCGTGAAACCTGGAGGTCCTGAGTGGGGTCGTGGGTGCATACAGCTGGGGAATCTCATGCTAGAACGAAACAGCTGTGCACTGCTCACAGGCTTTCAATAGTTCTCCAACTGATATCAGTCCGTGATGAATACTACCTTAAAAACAAAATCCCCAATAACCTCAGAATTTGTTTTTACCAACAAATTTACAAGATATAGGGTAGAAAGCGTAAACATTAGTACTACGGTCATCTACTATCAACAAATATTTATATCTTACAAACTTTAAGTGGAAAGTTTACAGTGTTCACCATTGCCCAAAAAGTCAGAAGTCTTTACAAAAAGAATACTGGTATATTCTGGCTTGATTATCCTGAAGCACATGCACTCTACTCTTAACTTAAACCTACAGAGTGAATGAAGTTTGGAGGCGCCTTGGAATGCATAACAAGCGGAAAATATCTCAGTCAATACAAATTTAGAAACTCCATGAATAATTAACCTTTTCTGAAACTAAGATCTTTGACCTAGCCACTCCATTGTTCACTACTTCTTCTACAGTTTAAGGGACATTTAAAGACATGGATTCAACAACTGTAACTTTCTTGTGACTATCTTTAGAAGTACAAGCTAGACAGGCAAGATGCTCATTAAATTATTGATCGACGAGTCAATATCACTCCTACCATATGAACCATAAGTTGATGCATGCCAAATAAGTACTTTTATACCGACAGTAAATGTCCTTGTAATACCCTCAGTTGAATTGGTTAATAATCAAGACTAGAAAAGCGAGAAATACGCCCAACTATTTCACGTTTTATTGCTAGATAAAATATAGATGCTGACTAGTTTTAAAGTATCACATTACAACTACTGGGTGTAAAACACACCCAAACATTGCATTCCCCATCCAAGATGCAACGACAATAATACATTTTACAAAAGGTTTGCACTAATTTGCTGGTTGAAACTCAACGCTTCATAATTTAAAAATGAAACGACTACTTTTGAAATGATATCTGTTCTGAATTGTGATAGAAACAAGTTCAACAGGGTTCGCTGATATATGTAAATCCCATGGAAATAAACTCAGATGATAATTTAGCGTGATATAATACAACTATGGGAGTTTGTGCAGCCTTGAAGAAGCTGAAGGCCATACAGCAAACTAGTTAGCAAAACAGAATTAATTTATGAAGTAAAACATCATCCCTATGTCAAATGTTTGGACAATTTCAAGAGACTATTAACTAAGTATGTCTGTTTTGTAGGAAATGACAGAAAGGGCGAGTGCAATCAAAGGAATCCATATGGCTTTGTCAGACTACATGTTGAAGGATGTATCTTTAGGGTTGGTAAATTTGTTACTGTTCACGACTGCTAAATGAACGCCGAATCCATGTGGACTTCAGTGGCTATCACTCCATATCGTCCATGAAAGAATCAGTAGCGACCAATTAGTGTGATCTAAGCTTTTTAAAAAGACTGACGTTTGCAAACGTTTGGCTATAGATTATAACTTTTTACTATTGTCAAATCACTAGCCTTCAAGTGTTGACAGGCGATAACAAAAAAATGGTTGTAATGGTTCGAGAGCTGTTGCTTACTTCCCTACTAAATGCCTTGTTTCGACCTAATTATGAGATAGAGTCTAAGAAAGTACCAAAATGATCACTGTGTTCACCAATAGGTTGATGATATAAGACAGCATCTTGGTTCTGTACTAATGATGGATAGTGGCTAACAGCGGGAGCCAAGATGCGAGTTTCATCTTATTTGGGACTCGTCGGGTGTATGCAACTGCCTCTCAGTAAGCAATTTAGTTCCCTCTTCGACTCGAACTCAAGACCGATCGCTTCAAACGCCAGAGCGTTATCCATTAGACCACCGAGTTACAAGTAACAATATTAATATCTTGATTTGTAGTGAATTCTCTATAATATTCAGAAACATGTGTTACTCAGGAAAATTTAGAAAGATGGTGAGATTGGCAGAGTTAAAAAAGTAAAACTGAGAGTCCAGGACCCTTAGACTGCTGAAATAGGCGAGAAAGAGAAACTTTGCAGTTACGGAAACCTTGTAGAGTTGAAATAGATGATACTCTCAATAAAAGTAGTCAAAAATAATTATGTGCACAGTAATCAAAAAGGCTGTTAGGATCCAGATGAAAGAGATAGAAATGAACAACTTTGAGTAATAGAATGCTGAAAATGCTTAGTTAAACAAAATGTAGTAAATACTTTCTTTACACCTTTGAAAAGTGAAGAAGTCCTAATCACATGACTACCATAATCGGGAATAATTTTGTCAGAACCAAAACAAAGAGGCAAGTAAGATTCTTCATTCCCTCCTCTTATCTACAAAACACGATGTAATCAAAGTACTAAAACCAGATCACATATTCACAAGTATATTGAATATCTTGTGACGGTACTTTATGAATTGCGCTCATGGTTCGCCATATTTTATCCAGTACATGGTTTCGCCTAGTTTACATTTGACAGAAGTGTTTAGTCTAATGATAACGATTTATACCAGTTTTTCTGACTGTCGTGGGTGAACTACAAAATAAAATGTTACAAACTACACATAAAAAAAAGAATTATGAGAAATATTTAAATTCTGATTCCATGTGGTAAATTAAGTACATTAGCTTGCGCAAAGAGTAAGAGTAACTATAACAATTTCTACTAATAATGAATATACTTCGGTATTTTATATATCCGAAATCGATAAGAAACCCTGTTACATTCTTTAGAAACCTATGTAAATGAGTTTTACTTAAAACAGAGAAAACAAATGTTAACGATACAACAACTACTGAAATTAACCTCATTAACTCTAGTACATGAATCAATATGTTCAACTTTCCCTACCACTACCTCATTACATGAAAATCATCATATATGCTTCTTTTTAATTCAGTAGACTTTGGATAAATAAATATAACACTACGGTGAAAACGTTTCCTAGTGGTTAAAGGTGGAAAACTTGCGTAGATCACACAAGTACGCACGGCTTTAGTAAGCAGGTGATCATGTCATTAGAGAATGTAGGATTTTTCTCCACATGATTCAAGTGATGAAAGGAATAAAATTTCATTTTCTTATCTATCACTACTAAAAGTTGAATATTTAACCGATCGGTGAACTCAATCCAAGTAAACAGAGATTAGTTTCAGTTTTAATATATTAACAGTAGCTAACCTAACCAGCGACGATGTTTGCCAGATCTTCATGATCAATCAGAGTTGGTTTTTTTGGTGTTGGAAGGCCCCATCACTTATGAATCTAAATTGTCGTTTTCACGCCGTTTTAATGACATGCCCCCTCATTTCCAAGGCAATTAGCTGATTGGTTAATGGTTGCTTTTACAATATTAATGTTTCAAGTTCTGGCCAAGGTCATATGTCATGTGCATACACATACATGTTTTTGGGTTAATTGACTTTTCTTCTAGGAGGAATAAACTCTCCCATCCAGTTCAGTCTTCTTCTGTAATTCGTCTGGTGTGGATCTGGCCTACGAAGTTAGCTGTCAGTCAAGTATGCGTATTATATCCTCTCGGAATGTATAACATTTAGTACAACTTAAATCCGATGGAAACGTTATCCAACTAGTAATAATTACTTATGACACGCTTTCGAGTATGATTACCGCTACCATTTCAGTGAAAACAGTGTGTCTTACAACGCACTATCAAATACAGTATTCTTTGTTGGTAGTGAAAATGATTGGCAAATCATGTTACCATGAGATGAAATTATGCTGCACTAGCATGTGCAGTTATATCATAATTCGTTGAATAGTTTTCAAAGAAACCAATCCAATTAGAAGTGATCTTGCCTTGTTTTGTTGTCTCCTTCCCATAAATAGTAGGAAAACAAAATAATTTAAATTATTATAAATGAGTTGATGGAGAAAATTTTTAAGCTCAGGATGAGAATATCAAAGCAATATCGCTTGATTTATTCGGTAAAATATGCGTCATCGTAACAGATTACATATCGAAGATTTTCCAGTGATGTGAATAAATTTTTTATTCATGTAAACAATCACAGTACAAGTAATCAATTTAACATATTGTATTCATATGAGTTACGTATCAAAAAAGTCACCCTTGTAAACGATAAACTGTGCATATAAAGACAGTCGACAGTAGGCGCTTCATTCAAACTAAAGGTCTGTCAAATAAATATCATCCGAATTTGTTCTAGTCAAAAAGCCTGATAGCGTTAGTACTTAGTTTAATGTGGATTCGCAACATTTAACCATTAAAACATAAATATACAGTCATCAAGGACACATTCAAAAAACGGACCAGAAAATCATGAGTACAGTTCGATTGTGTGCATCCAACTAATTAAATATTTCGCATACTTATCAATAAGATGCCAGATTAGCATTTTTTAACTAGGAAACTAATGGTTAGTAGATGATCTCAGCTCATGATTAATTATACATTATGATTTTAATGATGTCTATCCATATGATATCTCTGTACGAGATAAGACGTAATCTGTTTCCGATTTTCTAATCTTTTTGATTATCAGTCAGTTAGGATTTTGATGATAATCACAGCTCAATTGCAGTTAATCCACAGATTCATCTCGAGTGTACGTATTCCTCAGTCACAGCATTTCGTAACACGTTTCGCCCAAGAATCAACACTCCGTACAATTAAACATTATTGTCTAATAGTTAAACATTATTTTGGTAGTAATTCCTCTTGTCTATGTTTATCAGTCGAGATTTTCAATACAAGTCTTAGAAACACATCAACAAGCAAAAACATTATTAAAATATTATAATGGCAGAAAGTTACTGAGGATGAATCATTCACTGCCCTTAAAACACTTGTTTCAAATAACTAGATGTAAAGGTCAACAAATCTTTTCATATATATATATATATATATATATATATATATATATATATATATATATATATATATAGGTGCTAGCATGACTACGAATTTTACTTACTTTTTTTCCAGTTCACTAGCATCCTTATTGGACTGCATATTGGTGCTGCTGTTTGCACTTTCATCTCTGATAAGCACAGAATCTGAGTGAACAGAGAGCTGGTTGGAATCGTTTTCTGAGGAAGATGATGAAGTTGTTGGATTTTCCACAGTTGTAGGCATAGATTCAATTATGCCTACATCTTTGATGTATGTATTTACAGCAGGTGACTCAATTGATACAAGACTCAGCATATTACTAGAATTAGTAGTATCAGTACATGTAGCATTAGTATTCGCATTTGAAAAAAAAGCTTGAGGGTGATCAGAAAACAGTGAAGTGCTCTGCCTTTCAGAGCTAGTTTCATTTTCCGTGGAAGTTGGAGGAGGGAAATGAGGGGGTGGAGGGAGTTTAAGAGTATCTAATAACGAAAGACTAATAGAACTTTCCTCAACTTGAGGAAGCCAAACAGGATGACAATCACTGAGCTGAGGTATATTTAGCGGAGCAGAAGAGTCATGCTTCCCAGTTTGGCGAAGTTTAATAAGGCGCTGTCGAACATAAGCAAGTTTGAAGGCATCCCCAATTATTCTGTTAAGTTCTTCAGCCTGATTATATAAAAATAAGACAAAATATTAACAAGTAAATTTCAGTTTTTTTCTGACAAAATAAAGCTGATAATAAAATAGACAGAACAAAAATCAATACATAGGATTTATGTAACGGATGTGCACAGTACCAAAGTAAAACGTTTTCTAAGAGTTAACTCACGCTATTTTCATTTTCAATGATATATATTTTGCAAGACAACTATAAAATCAGTATGATGGCACTAGTTGCATATCCATCATTCATACGAAAGAAATACAGACAAGGTGCACTAATTTACACTAAGTCAGATAACAGAACAAATGCATAAGCAAGGTGGATATCTGTCACGATACATGAATCAATGAGATGCAACCCCGAAACCACAACTTCTTTTGGTTATTGGAAGATAATAAACATACGCTCGCTCATGCACTTCACAAGCAGCATGAAAAGCTCGATAAAACCTATTTGGAGCTACAACTCATTAGCATAGGCTCTTGACTTTCGATTGATGGGATATTGGACCCTAGAACACTCCACTTACCTACATTTGGACCACCAGGTAGTGTTGGTCATTGATTTCATTGTGAATCCCTCATAAACCTAAATAAGTGGGATTCCCACCTACATTGCTTCATGAGTGGATTTTTAATTTGCTTACTCCATGTTTGTCCTGTTCTTTGTTCCCCCCACTCTCACCCAAAGGAAATAAATATTTCCCACTCTTGGTTATCTTGTGTTCGTAAGCCAGCTCAGAAAACGCAACACAGCCAAGATTATACCACCTCAGTTACAAGTGTCCTCCATCATTTTCTATTCTCCAATATTTAGCTTAGCACATCCTCAAATTTTGAAATATTTCGCCAGACGAAAACTGTAGTTCTTTAGTGTAAAAATAACTATTAAAATAACCAAAATTTCAGTCGTTTTGCGTTGTCCCTGTTTTCATGAAGAGATACCTTCGAATACTGGTAATGGTGTTTAAATAGCTGAATTTATATCACTGCAGAGATGAAGCAAATACCTATCTTTCTAGGCTATTATAAAATATGATTGCTGGTTGACATTTGGTGAGGTCTAATGCAACGAAAATGAACTGGTACATAACAAACGAAAACCCTAAGGAATCAGACTAAACAAACAAAATCCCATATTGATAAACAAGCGAAAAACACGTCAAGTTATGAAGGGTATCGGTACAGTAACAGTGAAATTACAATTAATACAGTACATAAAAACTGATCATTAAGTGGTAACGATCAACTCTTAAGTTCACAGTACAGATCTAAAACATAAGAATCTACAAAAACACTGAGTAAGTTGAAGCAGCTATCTTCCATGCTTTGCTGTCACCCTCTCGAGTCTCTACCACTATTTTCGCAAGCCTGACCGCTTTTTCAGATATCGTAGAGGTGTCATCTTATACCGCACTTGTGCTGGAAAATGAGTCAGTCTTGGTGATTTGGTAAACGACGACATTCCGAATACGAAACATCCAAATGGACCGTTCCCAATTTACACCACCTTTCGCATCGATTATCAACCAAGAGATAAGTCATTGAATCGACAGCCAGTAAATAATATCGTATCACTGTGCTACATCAGTCACTAATCTAACACGAAATAGCCACCTAATTCAGGGCCTGAGCTCAGTGGTTACATGAAGGTCGGGTCGTTTTTCTATCAGCAGGAAGTTGTGGTATGTTTCCTGGTGGTTGACAGTGAAAACTATCAGCATAACTATGTGAAAATTGCAGATGCATCTACAGCACCTTTTAACGATGATTGAATGTCGGTTAAACTGATGGCAAGAAATTGATGACATTGAAGCGGTTTTTTCTAATATTTCGTCTCACCGTCGATACTACAACAACTACTGTCTCTTAAGTTAATAGGAAATTGAGTAGAGTACAAACCAAGCAAACAAAGTTGTCACTTTTCGGACGAATTTTAGGTATCAATGGACTTAAATCAAGTGATAATCACAAGAACTGTAACAGTAAGCAAAGCTATTGAGGGTCTTATGTACACGTATAAAATAACCACAAATGAGGATAAGGGCATCTCATGAAGTCATTTTGGTAAAGTTAATCCATAGTCATGAAGCTAGGATAATCTATAGTTTCTGTTCAAGCTTACCTACCTATATTTTTTTAATTTACTTATGAAGGCTGAGATTAGTCTTAACTCAAATACATCACACGTATGTGTAGGTCAATGATTGAAAACAACCTTCTCTGGGTTAATTCAACCCACTGGCTTACCTTTTTATTCCTCTACTTAAGTTAGTGTTAACCAGTTCAAACTGGTTAGCATTAGTTTAGAAGTAAATGATATAGATGACTAATTTTAAGTTTTCAGATCGATGGATGACTCATGTTATTACAATGTTATGTGAGCAGCCATTACGAAAAATCTAAGTGCAGAAAGCAGTTTTTAATTATTATACCAATCATTAGCTTACAACAACAAAATACAGCGTTACGAATACTTAAGATAATTTTCTACATGATCAACAGAAATTAGGTTATTTGCATCATGAAAAGAAGTGAAGCTGCATCTCAGTGGTCGAGTCGTTTAACACTAAAGTCACACATATAAACCCAAACTATCTGCTTCATGCTGCGTAATAAAGTATTATCCTGAAACCTTACACTTCGAATACAGTGTTCAACGTATAAACCTATTAACAAACTCGCATTGCAGTTACACTGTGTTTAAAGAAACAATAGAATTTTTGAGAATAACAGTGATGAAACCTTAGTGATTTGCAACGCAAAAAAGAGGAAGGTTCACAATATCAGTCAGCAAAGCAGACAAACAAAGTCCACGCAGCAACTCACTAAAGAGTGCATCGGTTCAAATTACCACACATTATCTTCATCCCTATTGTCATATTGAACTTCAGTATTCTGTCATTCGTCCTTGCTCTTTTTTGATAACTATCTATCACGACTGAATTCCTATTATTTCTCCACCTTTCATCCCGACGTATACACATACACACACCTCATATTAGTACATCAAGTTACGAGGCACAAAAATGAAAGTAATTAGGAGTAGTTGAAAACCGCAACGATAAAATAAGAACGGAAGAGCACGTCATTAAACTCGGTGTGATCATCAAGATAATTCATTTACGAATAGGTGTTATTGACGATTCTGAGCCATACGATCTAAAGTTTCCAACCATCTTTTTTAGGCATCAAGCGGATACTAACCATGAAGCCAGCATTCTCCCACACAGCTCAGATCAACTTCATAAACTGGTACCATGTTTAAGACTGGTTGCCTCTAACCTTTCCCCAGCCTGAACCCACTTTAGCTAACATTGCGTGAAAGGGTTATGGTGGTCAGGCATCCGTAACACATGTTTAAGCTGTTCCAACTGATGCAAGTTCACAAAATCACCTGACTTGCCTCTCCTGTTAAAGACTATATACCTAACCTTTACGTTACTGACGTGCTGGCACCAAGACACGGCTTATGCTATAAAAAGCAACAGTGGTCGAACACCTGAAACTTTCGCCTTCGATTTCCATGTTTGACACTCATAAAGTACAACGGCGAACTGCAGTGGAGTACACTCGGCACTTGACAGGTAATCGGATAACACGACAGTATTACAAATGGCAAGGAGCGAGCAAGCCTCTTATATTCATGACGAGATTTCACTGATCACCAACCCACCAGGATTGGTCAGACTTTCTAATTAAATTAAATGGCTACCAAGCATGACTGCTTCATTTCCTATCATCCCAGGCACCAATCCAAACCAGATCTGAAGCAAACATTTGCATTCGGATGCGAAACGTATCTCAGGCATTCTCAAATCGCCACTTAATGTTGAGATGATACATCTTGTCAGTGTCCACTTTAAAAAACCCATGTTATCAGTATACTCTTAGTCAACGAAGAAGTTTGCTCAGGCAAGGTCAATCTTATTTAATTCAAGCGAGAGCTTTATAAACACAACGACGACGAAGCTGGCTAAAAATACAGATGGTGGAAATCCTTTAGGACAATACGCGATATAGACAACTCACCTGATTCTTCACCTTAATCTCTACGAGTGTTCGAGTATAAAGCCTCTAGTGGGATGATGTACATCGAAAGTTAAACAGTAGTACCAGGTTCTATGTCGATAATAATTGACTAATATAGCTACGCAGCACTTCTTTCGGCGAGGAATATCCGTACTGGACGTTCCGATTGACAAATTCGAATGCCACTTTCTGGTAAAATATAACGCGTCTGATGCTGGTGAGTTAGCTTCTGATGGAGAAGGAAGATCCAATTGACAAATTTGTGACGATATTTGAAGCCCACCTAGCTTCATCCAGCTTGTTTCCGAGCTTCAGTTAGGTGTCTGATAACTATACAACCTGGATGTTATGTTCATAAAGCCGATTTCTCTTCGGTTTTTACGAGTATCTTTCGTAGACATTTCCTGAAAGCTGGCAAAATAAGTGGATGAGACCGGTTACAATGGGTCATATCTGACACCCACGCACTAGTTAATCTAACCAATAATCACTGACCAACAATCTTCATTACCTTTGGTGAAATTCTGTCGAAATATGTTGCCCTTTCTTATATCATATCGCTTACATCCTTTTCAACCTATCCAACCATCAGAGGCATTATGTCAATATTTCTCTTAGAAAACAGCTGGACTACAGGCAACCCAAGGGTAGTTGAAGGTCGTTTGAAATGTCACTTATAGTGCTCCGCCTGTCATTCCATTTGGCTCACATACTCTTTTGCCTACTACAATCTCACAAACCAGACTTCCCTACTTTCCTTTGGAACTGTAAAAAGCTATTTGGTATAGCTTGTCATTTTGATCTGGTCAAACTTACTTTTCTACTAGTTTAATCCAACTGTGGTTGACATTGTGAGTTGAGGTAGACTGTGGCTCAACATGCATAATACGAGTTCATATTTTTCCTTATTGACCGATCTGACTAAGAAATAAGCAGTTAAAGTGAGTTTTGACCATAGAAGGTCACGCAGGCAGTGCTATGAAAATACAAGCGATCGAAAATTTCTGGTCTTCTCATGTATTTTACCTCTAATGATAATGCATCAACTGCATATCAGAATAGAGACTGTTGCGCGTTTTGTCTATCAAACACCAGACGAACAAACTAACAGTCATATAGGAAGTAGATTGGTGAACGCAAAATGAGAAATATGCAGATGCGGTGACATTTCTATCGGTAATTAGTTCTTCAGGCCAAACATAACTATATAAGCAATTAAAGTAACAAACATTCTACCACCTTACTCGTCTTTAGATTAGAAGCCGAGCACATCAACCAAGATTTATTTAACGCCGCACAAATTCAAGTCATGCCTACTATAATCTTGCTCAAAACGTATGGAAGACTGCATTTTTAAGGTATATTCACCCAATAAAACTATGTCGTCTCCGTGCTCGAAGTTAAGTCATTGTCAAACAAGCACATACAACACGCGGTGACTGTATCACTTACATTTCCAGTTCAGTACCAAAAACTGTAGCCTGCAGTCAGTGACCCAATAAAAAGTAAGTATATTCCCGTGAAGACGTTTGGATAATCTTGAATTAGCCAAGATAAGTGATGAATACTGTTGACATTTTGGTTGAGGAGCGAAAGAGCATGCTTTTACTTGAAAAAACCTCTGACATGCACCCTCACGTTTAGTAAAGAAATGCTTTTCCAGGTAATCGATTCAGTTGTTCATCAAAACAAAAAAAACTGTACGCATAACACTTACGTCAGCGGCAGACGCTGTCACAAACACATGACAATATTGTAAGTTGACAACACTCGAGGGTTCTCTTGCTAGAAAAGCAACTTGCTTGTATGCGGCGTCACAAGTAGCATAAGATATTCTGCGCAGCGCATGCGCCATGTACACAACCTAGAGGATATAAAAGAATTCCTTCTCACTCACTTTCAGATCATCTGAGCATATTTTTATGCCACGAATCGACACACAAACAATCACGGATTTACTGCGTGTATAACACTAGGGACTTTTTCGTTTTCATACCATGAAACTTACTCTCAGAGATTCAAGCTCCCTTTGTACCTTTTGAGCCTTGCATACATTGTCCTGCTCTTCAACAGGAAAAGAGCCAATATACTGAAACGTGAATTATAGAGTATCAAACCTACTAATGAATGACGATATATTATTTCATCTTTCATTAAGGGCAAATTAAAAGTCATGCGGCCCCTTAGAATTCTACATGTAGACTGCAGTTACGAACTAGTTCGAAAAGCGTGCAGTCATAGACACAAGGTCAGAAAACATAAAAAGTGAAGTAGGCAATTTATAATGGCAAATAATACAGATGAATTACATATTATACCATTTTCCTGCTTAGATAATGTGGAATAATTTGTGTTTAAATCGACTGTATTAACGACGCCAGAAGACATTTTGGCGCTAGCTCTCTGTCAGTGGGTTGAATCGGCTTATCTGGTGAGAATGTTAGGCATTTTTGTGTTTCGTGACCGTATTACCTCGATAAAACGTTTAAAGATATCACACTCGATATGAATGGTGATCGTAGATGTTGTATATACGTTTGCATTAACTTCATTGCCCAATTAATGGCTGGTTGCCTTGCGTTTTGAGTGGTACTCTCGTCACCAGAAAAACATACTCCCATGTTTTTTGACTACTTTTAAAATTTGATGTTACTGTTACTGGTTTGGTCACATCTGAGGGTAGTGTGTAGAAATAGGTCGTTAAGTTTTCATTGTTTGGTGGCCACAACTGCCTTACAAAGCATATCCTAGCCTTTAACACATTTCATTCCGGATCTCACTTAGTTTGTTTAGTCCAGATCAATCGCTCAACAGACTACTGTTACTGTTGCTTATCACTGAGCAACCGATTCCTGTGCTGCTGGACACATCCTTTACCCAGGTTAAGCTGGAAATCTCAATGCCCTGAGCTGATGCTCCTTTCTGACGTTTTCTTATAACCCTAGCACTAGTAGAATCTGTGACAGTGGCATTACGAGATCTATGGTTCCTGTGGAATATGGTCATAGTAATGGAAATGTCACGGGTTGGAAAAGGCAGTGCATGTGGATAGTAATATTGATTAGTTTGTCTACCTCTCTAGCGGCCAGTCGTAACAACTGTCTGGCAACTCGGCATCTGAAGAAGCCAACTGCACCACAGTCCAAGCAAACAAACCAACACTTAACTTCCTTTTCTGTAAATCAGAGCTACAGCAGACGAGTGGCTGGGCCTACTGCATCGGAATCCGCCAAAAGATCTGGAGCCGTTCCGCAAGACCAAGAAGCGAGCTTGAAGTAATCAATTGGTTTGCACAAGCTCGTTAAAAAGATATTGGATATTTGATACCTCCTCTGCGCAAAAAAGTTGAAAATTCTAAGGTTATTGCCGGCTTTAAATCATTACAGGAGTTTTTGGGCTTCAGACTAATCGATGAAATAAAGCCTGAAAATCAGTCATAGTAATCCCTGTTGTTCATATTATACTTGGATACTCTTTGAAAAAGGAATCTCGACGCAGGACAGCTTAAGTGGCTATAAGCGGTGGTTTTGCAACGAAAGCATCTTGGAGACTAGTTACTCAGTGCACTCAAATGTTTGAATAAGAATCCGTTTGGAACTAAGCTTCATACATAGAGTATTGTATCAGTGACGCTCGCATCCACTATAGAAGCCATTCACCTGATCACAAAGGGTAGTCACAGAGTTGGTGACGCTTTTCCATTAGAACAGCAAGCTAAACCTTTGTCCTGCCGTGGGAAAAAGGGTGATGTATTGCTGGCATTTTGTATCCTGAATATTAATGTGTTATCTTCCCAACCTTTATGACATCAACTTAAATGGTATTGTAAGAAAGTCCTTGAAAGTATAATCATCATTCACTAGTTTTAGCTTTTCCAGGCAAGTAATCGGCCATTTCTCGATCTTAAAATCTGGCAGCTGCCCACTTGAATGTATTTAGAGAATTAATTGGATTTGACAAAGCTGATTATTTCAGTTACAAGCAGAGGCTGTCTAGTTTGCTCTCCTTTCACTACCTCGTCCTAGATATGCGACTTAAGACTTGGTGAGGTTGATAATAGAGATTTGTAGCTCGCAAAGTGATAATTGTTTATTCTCTTAGCATTAAGTTTCTTGGATGTCTTATCTGCATACCAGGCTTCATCATTTACCTCATATAGGACAAGTCACTCTGTCTGATGAAGCGTTCAAAGCTTAAGGAACACGAAATAATTATCACTTTCCTAGACGGCTTGTCTGAGTGTAAAAAGCAACATGCATTTCCGATTCGTGCATCGTACGTATTTGTACAAGCTGTTGGTGTATTGTATCACCGTAGGCTGGCTGCCATTCGTGTTATTCTTTTCTATTCATTCAACTCATGTGCTTCAGCTAGGTCTCACTTTTCTCCCACGTTCACGTCCCCATGACGTTTGGCAACATTCAGTAGTTCGCCAGCATAGTACGACTTGATTGGTTCCGTCACAACTTTCAACATGTTTTAAATGCGAACTTGGTGCAACATGGGAACCATAACTTGCACCCTGCAAAATAGAGCATCAAAGTGGCGCAAATTGAAGAAAATGTCAAGGACGCATCCAAAAAAGCATACACTATCATGGCATTACTTCCCACGAATATCATAAACATGAAAGCTGCAGCATGATCACTGGTTCTGACTGTGAAGTGGTCTCAAGGTGAAACAACCTAACCCGGCACAACTATCCTTAATTTTACGACAACTAACTACTGGAGTTTAGGCGGCCAGGTAGTATTACTAACCGCTACAATAGATGTGGCTTATTGCCTACTGCACGGACGTGCACAGCGTAGCTGATTGTGTTTCCTCACACTTGTTACTCTTTCAACTCACCGAAGCTGGTGTTTCAAGGTAACCATGCTGACTAATAGTCTCTATCACACCAAAAGAGCTCCTAAACTAAAAATTACTTACGTGGTGTTTCCACTAGACCGACTCAGGTTTAAAAAGCAACAGTGGTCGAAAATAGCCGACGGACACCTCTCTGATACATTAAGAAGAAATAGCCTTCTACGGTGTGGACAACCAGGGAGTGTCAACCGCCTACACGCTTGCTCTAGTACGCATATCCCAATCAAACAACCTATCTTCCACAACTCTGTCTCTGCCTTCTGATAGTGATATTAGGCCTCTTACACCTTACCCAACCTCACTCTGCAACCATTGCCAACGATTAAAACCTTCCCTCCATCATCCATCCATCCAAATCAACATAGGGCCAGGCATTATTGCGTAACAGTCCTAGTTACCACAACCCATCAGTACCCCTCGTTCCTTGTCTCCCAAAACACCGCCATCGATTTCATGGTGGAGCTTCCAAAGTCCGAACTGTATACTAGATTGGACAGCCAGCATTGCTCACCAGAACTTGACTCATGGATCTATGCTGTCTCTGAAGGACATATACAAAACTCGAGTGTGGTTATAGTCATTGTAGTGAATCTTCTAAATTCTCCATACCAGTAACCGGTGGCCCATTGGCTCTGGTAAACTCGCTGACGTAGGCATAGGTCTGAGCTATAGAGTAGAAAGTGGGCCTGTGGACTGGATACCGGTAAATAGCTGTTTATGTGCTGTTCGACTGAGTAAATCTGTAAGAATTAGGAAAGATCGTGAGACCACCCGCAACGTCATCCGAAATGATTGATAGAAGGAAAACTGATTCCGGCTTGCTCTGACCACGATGAGGAGCAAAGGCAACTTAAACGAAAGCTGACCGACGGTCTTGGCACCGACCGTGAACAGCAGCGCGGTGAGTGAGATGGAGAAGGCACCAGCGTTAGGTAACACTTGGCAAAAATTTAGGCTTACTAAAGATGCCGACAAAAAGTTAATGGTTAATGAAACCACCGCCTAAAAGGATGACACGCTAATAACCTCCCAAGACAGATAGTCAGGATGTTGGGCTGAATACTGTAAAGCACAGTTCGCCTGACCCACAGCAGCGCTTCAGTTTCCCAACATCCAGCCTGAACCTGAATGAGACGTAAATGTTGGTCCTCTAACTCTCCTTGAATTCCATAGAACTGAATCGAACTTGGAACGATGCAAACCGGCGGGACATGTCAGTTTCGCAGTCGGAGTCTTCATAGATGGTAGTAGGAAATTGCTGAGTAGACTGACGGAGGTACTAAGTAGTGTATGGGAATGAGAGGTAGTACCTTCAAACTGCTCTACTTCACTGACCATTTCAATCTATAGGGCGAGAGAAGTCTTCTTATGACAACCATAGAGGAATAAGTTTGACTAAAATTATGTCCAAAATCCTAGGTTTCATAGTTACGTGATGCTTAACTGGAGCTCGAGAAAACTGGGTAGACATGAATGAAGGTGCATCAATATTTTCACCATATGACAGGTTGTGGGACGCACGCTTATCGGCCGGTGGTCGACACTTATCGTATTTTTGACCTGAAAGCGGCATATGTCTCTGTTGACTTTGAGATGTGGCAGTGTCAAATTGTGAAAGGAGTACCGACCAGGTACATAATACTTATCACAGCTTTCTACTCGAACTCAACCGTGTAGAAGCTTATGGAGAGTTGTTTTAAGAATCGATAACTAATGTTGTCCACCAGGGATATCTACTGTCACAGTCCCAATTTTACTTCGTCGTATACGCACTAGTGTACGTAACCTTAGTTAAACTTCACAATGGTTGACCTTGGGGGTCATCTGGTTGACTTGGAGTACGCAGACGATATTGTTCTACTGGGTGAGGACGCTGACAAAATGCAGGGTCTTGTAAACGTGTTGAGCGGAAATCTGGGTATGTTTGGCATGCGTTTCTCACCCGCCAAACGTAAGATGGTGCTGCGATGCCTATCTGTAACTACTCTTAGTCTTAGGATGGGGAATAAAGTGGTGGACTGTGGGGACCACTTGGGGCATTGCTCGAATGCGGCGGTTGCTGACAAAATCTCAGCTGGGATACGTAAGGCCCATTTGACATTCGCCACCTGCCGACAGATGAGATATGAGTATACTGCGCTCCAGTCCTTCCTGACCTGCTGTGCGACTGGAAGACATGATCGAGGAACCTTGGCGACGGCTCAAAGTCGGTCACAGTATGGTAGGTGTATGCACTTCTAACTCTAATGGTTGAATATTTTCACTAATATGTATTTTTCAGTTATTTATTCGCTCACAACTTCGTCCAATTTATTATCACTCTTATTCTATCCACCGGTTTTTTTCTATACTGCTGTGCAAAGTGCGGCAACTAGAGCTGATGGACTTGTGTGCGAGGTCGTACGTTGATTTTGTCTGTTTATCTCACCTTAGAGAAGCCAGGTACTGCAGACGTAGGGCTGAACTGACACATCGTATACCCGTACTTTCACGTGAAAGTCAATGTCATTACGGCTCCAAACGTGGTACACACTAGTTTATGCCGCTCTGATTTTGCATATGCGGTTGAAAATTTCATCAAGCATGCTTCCGTCAACACACACCATGCAGGTACACCAGATTTCTTACAGCTTACCACCCAGATTGGTTTTAGATGCAGACTCTAGGCAGTTTTGTTGAAGCACTTTGATGACATTAATTATTCACTTTTCTTGGGGGCACGTTGCTATCTGATGGAATGCGATATAAAGTGTGTTGTCTCAGTAAGACAGTATCTTAATTTTAAAAAACGTCCAACATGGTAGTAGATCTACACCACCAAGCAGAGCTGTATCAAAAATGTCATCGATGGTAAAGTTGAAGAGTAATGGCGAAACCAGGAGCTCTGCCTAGTCCTAATGTTGGTTTGAGACATGGAGAGGTGTCTGTAAGCTTTCATCCTACCTAGGGTTTAGAAATATACGCCTTTAAGATCCTAACAATTTGAGACTACCTCTCCAACAAATAATCCTAGAGTACAACGGTGATCACTGCGATACTAATACTCTGTCTGCCGACCCGTTTCGCAATGGATGGCGACGTAATTGTCCAAGTTACACATGTCAAGGGTGTTTCATAATTATGCGTTAGGGAAATTATTCTAACCTATTAATCGTTCTCATAACCCCACATCGTAACAATTAAGTTTTACTAGTTCAGTAGGTTAGCGATCAGTTAGATGGGTGTGCATCTTTTTCTGAGCACTAGTTGATAGTAAAAGGGTTTATGCATTTCGACTTTTCAAAAGCTATTGAACCTGTTTTCATGACGTCTTCATATTTAGTTGCCTCGTTTCTACTAAAGTTCGAGCAAGGTCACTGAAGTACCTCGACTAAACATCATGCAATAACTTTCTTGGGCTTAAACCATAGTATTTGTTTGCCATTCCATAAAGAAAATCAAGTTGTTGTAATTACCCCTTCATCGATTAATAATAGATATAATTTTCTCACTGTAACTACTGCTCCTCGAAATGACCAAGATCAATGTAGAAAGTCGCAAAAAAGTGCATCGGTCCTAGTCGCCACATCTCACAGCAAGCGTTTAAATTGGTCTAAAGTATAATAAAGTGAATGGGAGGGGAAGAATTTAAAAGTCCAGCCTAATGAATATGATCAAACTTAGGGAGACGTCTGACTGAATGCATACGCAGCATTGTGACCCCTTTTCAACTAATGCTCTCCACATATTGCTTCTTGTTGTCTTGATATGTCTAACCGCTTAGTCTACACCTCATGCGGTTAAGACCAACAGTCAGAGACTTCATGGACTGTTGCCAAGTTTTAACCTGACCACCTTGAACCTTCAATTCAATCCTACTTTGGATACTGCGAGTACGATGTAACGTTTTGCATGTCAACTCTAACACAGGCTTAGTTTATTACTTAAGGCGCTTCAACACTCATGCTTTGCCTCAGTTGCACATGTAATACGTACTCGGCGTATCTACACAAGCTGACTAATTTACACTTTTATCTGGTCCAAACGCTGGATGCTGCAGTACCAACTTGCCTTTAACTTCGCTGACATCCAATATTTATTTGAGGATAAACTACGTCATTTTCTTACCGTCATCAGAAAAACAGTTCATAGTATGAGTCTACCAATCACTGTATACTGTAATCCTCAACAATTTCTGGTCTTGTAGCATGCGCCATCTACTTGAATTCTCTGAGGTTACACATAAATATTCAGAAAGTCTAAAGCTCAGAACTGTATGCAATCAACGATGTTTGTTAACTCAAAGCCTAGTAAACGAACTCTTACCTGGTGCATTTTCTTTTTTTGTTATTATTCGATTGTGAATGCAGCTACAGGTGTTGCAATCATTAATGAACACCAAAGATAACCACTCATTTTTCCTAGTTGTCTGAAGATTTTGCATCTTAATCGGTTTTCACACATCGCTACCTACCTGCGACCAAATAATATCGACGCTGTTAGTATTTAAATTGCATGTTTAAACCGTGTTCACTTGTCATCGTCATAATCGCATATAACTGTTAACAGCTGTCTTGTGGACTCAAGAGGTAGCTGGTTTCAGTAGTCGATTCATATCTAGATTCAAATAATAGGATTGTTTAGTATTCGTATTCACTTTCAGATTAAAGCATGAAGCGCTAAGAAACCTACAGCCTAAGTAGTTAGATCTCATCTTGCTTTATTATTATGTGGCCTGTAGAAACCATCACGTTTAATTCTCTTGTATCTACGCCTAAAAATGTAGTTGAGTGATGCGTCCTCCCCCTTTGTGTAAAACGTTTGATGCAGTGTCCCTTGGAAACTGATAAGTTGGACCATTTACACTACTTCTGCTAGTCAGCTTAAGGTTTTGATTTATTTCTACTCGTTAGCAACTGAGTTCCGAAAGCTACTATGCCTATATGTGACTACGTAGGGTTATTTAACGTGACTCATCGGAGTGCTAGTTTTTGTCAGCATTGCAACATTGTTAATGTTGCAGCCATCCATCTGTGAATGCATTTACTTGTGTCTTAGTTATCTTTTTCATTTTCTTAAATTTTGAACCGAAACTAGCTACCAGTGCTTGGCGCTTATTTTATCTTTTCTGTCATAAAATATCTTAGTTCCAAATTGAATTACTGGGTCTAGAATCACTGGTTTATCCTTTTGCATTTTCAGCTGGTTTGTTGATTATTGTTTAATTTTCAAAGAAGTCTTACTCCACCGTTTCTCTATTTTTTGTTTCAAGCATTTTGCGTAACATATCACTGGCTATTGCTTGGCAACCTACAACTGTGAGTCTTTCTGAAGGGTTGTCACATTTGCTCTCGTCTTTGATACTGTAAACAATCTTTAGAAGGGCATGTGTACCACCATACGTTACTCATGCATATTTTTTTTTTCATCCTAGTGATCTGCTCCGCTCAGAATGGCTCTCGCTGCTCAAAAAGCTCTGCTGGATGAACTCATGGGTAAGAATCGAAATGCTTGCAATGGTGAGAGTTCTGGTGGTCCACATTGGTCTGACGATGATGTATGCAAGTTTTACTTGTGTGGCTTTTGTCCTCATGATTTGTTCGTCAATACTAAAACGGACTTGGGTCAGTGTCCTAAATCGCATGATGAGCGTATGAGGGAAGCCTATAAAAAGAGCTCCCGTTTCGGCAAGATGGGGTACGAACAAGATTTTGTTCACTATCTTACCCAGCTTTTGGAGGACGTTGAAAAAAGAATTCGACGGGGACATGAACGTTTGGCAGTCAATAAATGTGTCAACAACCCAGATCCAATCGGAGCGAGTGAAAAAAAGGAAAAAATTGCTGCACTCACGAAGAGAATTAATGACTTAGTAAAACAAGCTGAAGAGCTGGGAACTGAAGGGAAAGTTGATCAGGCCCAAGGAGTTCTCAAATTATGTGAACAGCTGAAATTTGAACGGTCGCAACTTGAAGGTGATGCTCGTCCGGGCATGACTCAGGTAAGCTCTCTTTTTTCTAATGTCTGTTTATTATCGTTATTCTTAGACTAAAGAACTTGAAGTTTGCGAGATTTGTGGAGCCTTCAGGATCAAAGATGATGCACCACAACGAGTTGAAGAACATTTGTCTGGCAAAATGCATCTTGGTTATGCAAAAATTCGTGATTACTTACGACAATACAGCGAACAACATTCAAACTCCTCTACTCGCTATGGACGGCGAGACAGACGATCTCCACCTGATCGCTCTCCTATTACTCGGGATCGTGATCGACGTCGTAGCCGCGGTAGGAGCCTAGATCGAAAGTACGTTCTTTTTTCTAAACATAAACTGTGGTTAATAGTATCACAGTTCCCTGATGAACTGATATGATTCGATTGGGATAATTTAAAAGGTACTCATTGCAGATTTTAATTCCGCTTATTAGGTAATTTTGGAGTCATCGTCTATTACGGGGGCAATCGATTCCACAAGGTATATTTACTTTTAAAGCCCTAAGTAGTTTATTTAACGTAGATTGTAAAGTTCGATTAAGATACACACAGTGGATTTTGACCATTCATTAATTTCATTGTTTATTTTTGGATCTGTCCTTCTAAAATTGTTTTGTTTTGCTTGTTTTCTAGTTCTCATGTACAGTTCACTTCGCCTCGACGTGGCCGCCATGAAAGCGGAAGCAGTAATCGGTTCCGGTCCCGACATGATTTTCGTGATGAAAGGAGACGATATGGCAGGTCGCGATCACGATCGCGGTCACGCAAAGCTCATGATCGTCACCGACATGAACATGCTTCATCTTCAAAGTCTGCCAAGCGCAACACTTCACCTTTCAGTGCTGCTCGACGTCCTCCTGAAGGAGCTGAGGACTACTAATTTTCCAGTCCTATCTACTTACTAGAACATTGTATATATATTCCAGATACCATTTTTCTTTTATCAACCTCTTCTACATGTCAGACTAAAAGGCACTCACTTCGCAGTTGGTTTGTATTTGAAAAACTTTGCACATGTCCAATTAGCGTTGATTTCGTCTAATTATACAAATTTATGTTATCGTATTGTTCTGTTTATAAACAGGGCAAACTGACTCATTTCACTAGTCCATCGCTTTGGTAAGCTACCTCTGGAAAATGAATAGCCTTAGTACTGTCGTGTATGATAAGTAGATAAATGTGCAATAAACACACAGCAAAAGGTTTTTTGTTATTTCTTTATTCAACTGCATTCATATTTACCAACCGTTAACTGTTCCAGAGTGTTACTCAGATTTGCAACCCAATGGTCTAGCTCGAATGATAGGTCCTTGAGTTTCTGCAGTAACAGAAATAATAAGTTAGTGAGCTGCGTCTCCTTAGGTGAGCGCTCAATGACCAGATTTTTGGAGCTGATAGATAAGGAAGTTATTCGGAGCACATCACTTGTATGCCAGTGTCTAAGATATAGCATATGTCAGTAGTGAGACCTCCCAGGGTCCTTGCTGAGCGGTGTATCTTTCGAGCTTTGAGCGTGGAAGGCGACAAGTTCAAACTGTACTTGTCGCAGCAAGAAATAGTGACGAAAAAGCAGCTGTCTTGTCACTCAAGAATTTAAAACGTGAGAAAACAGTTGGAACGAATAAAGACTACAAAGACAACAACACGGTCTTTACAATAAATATGATTTAGATAATTCAGTTCTTTTCTTGAGGCATTGGTGTGAATGATGAGTTAGGTGGCCATTTTGAGACTTTCATTGCAGTGTTGTACTAATATGAGCTACATGAGAGTCAAAATAGTGTACAGACCAGAGGATTTTTGCGTTTTCAGGGACTATTCTAGAAAGGTTTTGCGTGAGGTTTGGTCAACCAGGCAGTGGAGTAACTTGAGAAACTGCATCCCTATGGTTGCTAATAATTTATCCTATTGCTTGTGTCAAATTAGCATAGAGCTAGTTTTCCAACTTGTCTAGAGGAACCGTCCGTATATACCGATCTGGTTCTAAGTGCTGATCATCCACTTCTGCGGAAACACCCCTGTCGTGTGTATTCAGTACATTGGACATCCGTGCACTAAGTTATTGGGTTGGATGTGGAGCTATGACACTTGTCAAGGCACTCGATTTGCAACCAAATGGGTCGCGGATTCGAACCTCACCTACTGAAGTCTGAACATCCAGGTCGCATCATTAGCCCTCACACGAGAGATGTGACCTATTGTGCACATGGTTACTGAGTGGGTTTCTTGTGTGAGACAAAGAGCGAGCTCATTCCACCCAACAACGATTCAGTGTGGCATCTGTCCCAAAATGTTTTTTGGAGAAGTGTAAGACTGCAAATGTGGTACTGCAGCCAATTAGTTTGTTTTGGGTAGTATTTTCAAAACGCAACTTATCGCACTTGAATAATGAGTTAGTTCACATATGTGGCGACCAAGGTCGTCAATATTTATCGACCAACAATTCAGAGTCCAAAAGACGCGAGATAATTAGGTTCAGTGCTTTACTATATGGATGGAACAGACAATTTAGTCTTCTACTTTTGTATTCTTAAAGCTTCAGCAGTGCAAAATAGACCTCTACTCAGATTTTCCTGAGCTTCTTTTGAACTCTAAAATACACTAAATGAATCTTTGAAAATCGCTTGTTCTCTATTGACTAGGTTTTGTAGTATGGGACTTTTGATTTATCTAAATTCAGTGAACCATGTCGGATGGTGTTCACGTCAACACCAAACAAACTACCCCTGCCCACAGCTTATATGCCTAGCCCTACAGGAGCAGGTGAACTGGTTTACCGTGAAGCAGCCTCAAATTTACAAGTCATTTATCCTGGCTGTTCAACGGCGAACACTTGTGCGTGTGTACTAGTTGCTTCAATGTATATCTGTCGTCATAAAGCTGGGAAAATGCATGGTTCATGTTCAAGTCGTCTGCAATATATTTCCTTAATTCACCTATAAAGGCTGACAATATTCTTAGCACAAATATATCATACATTTATGTAGGTCAAAGATTGTGAACAACCTTCTCTGTGGGCCCACTGCCTTACCTTATTCCTCTACTTAAGTCAGTGTTAATCAGTTCAAATTGGTTGATATTTTTCGGAAGTAAGGGCAATATATGGCCAATCTTAAGTTTCTAGATCGGTGGGTTTGATAAATCTTCATGCTAGTTCGATGTCATAACAAATATTAAGGCTAAAAGAGTTATGGAGAGATATGAGATGAACGGAAATATTTCTACCTCAGTAGGATTATTTCAGTGATGTGTTTTCTGAACTGGGTGTTTACCTCACACTAATTTGCTATGCAGGCCGTCCCAGCTTATGTGTATAATTCAGAACAATGAAGATCACTGAGTGTTGATCATTCATGATCCTATAATGGTTATCAACCTACAGTTAACTTATCATTTGTTCTTTTGGTTCTGCATAACCACTAGTGAAGCACTTATGTAGACTGCTTTCGAACCAGTATCCTTTACATCTAGGATCACTTTATTCTTAGGGTAAATGTAGAAAGAGAATTACTTATACTTTAAGTTGCAGTTGCATCACCATGAATACTTCTGTTCTCCACAACAAAAACAATACTAAGGTAACACTTATATGTGTAAGTTAACGATAAACGAGTATGACCACCTGAACTTGTTGCTTAAATTTATAAAAATGGAACGATTTAAAATCGAATCATCTCCCATGTCTTCGCATTTTACCCAACTAATCAACATTAACGGAATATCAGTTTGACTGTCTGAGATAGCTGTGGTTTGGCAGACTTGTATTGATTGAAAATAAAGTGTAAATTTGGACCTGTGACCACCGGGTTTCCGGCCTACTGCTATACCTTACTAAGCCGCGAGATCCACCTGTTGATCGGTTCGAATCCTACCACGGCCCAAGTTTTCATTTCATCTTCAATCGTCACCCAGTATCAATGCAAGACTGCAATTATTTTCAGATAGTCAAAGTGATAATAGTGGAATAATCATTAAATAAATGGTAGGAAATATTAAAAATTATAGTCTTATTGATTCGGCTGATTAGTTTTTTTATTCATCATGCTGGTATTCAGAAGATAATTGTCGTCTATAAAATTACGACAGAGAACAGTGTTATAAATCTGTGATGCCTACCAACTTTAAGCAGTTGACCTTAAAACTAATGAGTTGATGTGCAAATTTTATACTGATGTCACCTATACCTAGAAATGGTGGTATTGGATAAATTTATCGATTTCTTCAGTCATCTAATCTCACAAATGTTTTAAAGTGCGATTCATACTGAAGACTGTTAAGCGTACACTATGAAAGAAACAAACTGATGTTTTGTGTCACAACAAGTGGTCAATCGTAACTCAGGAAACATAGTGCAATAGATATTAACTGTCATTTGTGTGCGCATTGTTTTCTAAAGTCATTTAGTATGAATACAGAATGGTTGAAATATTACGTTACGGAGAGTCTACAGTTTGTTCCCGATGATATGTGGTGCCTGGCATTATCACCATTATTGGTCATCTAGAGGATATCCCAATAAATATTGATCGTTATGGGCACTTAGTTTTATCGGAGTTATTGTTTCAATCTCCCGTCAGAAACTGAATGACTGTACACAGTCAACCAATAACGAGTCAGTCTGTCCTTTAAGTACACAATCTGCCACTATAACTCCATATTAAATTAGTTCACTTCATATAGCACACTATGATGCAGTGATATTTTTTTTACTGGATGACGCCTCAAGCACAATTTATTACTCGTTATCACATCGAAGTGACCACACAGCTTTCAAAATTCTTTTCTATAGTCTAATAACTTCTCATTTCATTCTCATTGGTAGCTGAATTTCCCAAATACCTGGGAATAGTAATGGATTATTCCTGTTTTGTGTATTAGGCTATAATTCGAAGAAATATTCAGTAGTCATTCTCTTCCTAGGTATATTGAATTTCGGAACTATGACCTGGACTCATCCTACGCTGAGTTAATGCAGGAATAGTGATAACCAAATTTCCTCCAGACCACTTATCACACTAGGGTTTGTCATCCTCCTATTTGTTGTCTGTTCTGTCATTTGCATAAATAACGCTTGGACCTGCTATGACAGTAAATAAACTTTTCAACTTGAATTGTGCTATTTCAATAATGACTAAGAATATAACTTTCAAATATTTTTGTCATAGTTAGTTTGCATGGATTCCAGTAACGACAACTTTTTGTTATTTCGGTTAGAAGGGTTCTTCTTCTTTCTTCGTACAATAAAGAAGCGTAATAAGTCATTTTAGTGGCTTTTAGAGTCACCCGGAGAGCTCATAAATTCGTGACACACGTGACTAAAAGTACTCCATTTATCATCGCACTTTTCGAACGCAAAGTTGGCTGATCATTGTGCCGACTGATGTCATATATGACAGGTAATTACCACGAAAAATAAGCAATTTACCACTTGATTCACATGTTAACTCCAACATCCAGTATGTTAAAAAAAGTGCTAAGTGACATTTGCTTTGTTTTACAAACATATAAATACTTTGATAAGTGATCACATTTATTTACCTTAGATGCTGAAAATACTGGCGAATGATTAAAACTTGAAAGGACTGGGAGACAACTGAAGCAGGTTGTCATTTCTTTCAAGACTTTCTTTTTGATGTTCCCATGCATAAAGCGTGTGATATATCTACTGCCTCCCATGTGAAGTAGTGTTTTCGGTTAGTCATATATCACCTCAGGACTCGTACAACTGTCACGTTCACAAGCATTCACAACATATGACCTGAAAGGTATTGAAATATGCGTATGTACATGTGAAAACATTCGAATGGTTTAAGTTCATCGGTTCGGAGTTGTGCTGCTTCATGCAGTGGTAAATTAAGCGTACTAGGTAAATGATTTGATTAATGGTACTTCGTGGCGATAAAAGAACTTAGATGTTTTCAGAAGTGATAGTTCAAAAACGAATTTTCAGCTTTTTCATATCTATTCTTATCACAACACATTGATTTGTGTGATTTGAAAAGTGTTTATTTCAGCAGCTGTTTGCATTTTTGTGAATTAAACAGATAGAATCGTAGTAT